TTCGTATTCTTTTTTTTTTTCCAGACATTATAGGAACATTACTTTGGAATGTTCTGAAAAAAGTAGTAACATTTTAAAAATGTGAGATGAACATCCAACTACAACGTCACATTAAAAAAAAATACATTCCATGAATGATGTTTTGTTAACATTTTGAAAACATTTATTTATGAAAATGTTATTTCTGAATGTTTTTTGATTATGCAAACATTAAGAGAACATTCCTTTTTTCAAATATTATGGAAACATTACTTTAAATTATTTTTATTTTTAAATATTTTAAAAATATCAGACAAATGTTCAACTTAGCATTTCAGTTTAAAAAAAAAAGTACATTAATGAACAATTTATGAATTTATTTTTTGAAATTTCTGAATGTTCTCATTCAAAATGTTCAGTTTTTAAATGTTTTTAAAAAATGTTTTTTGGTTATGCGAATGTTAAGCCAACATTCCATTTTGTAATTTTACAAACATCATGGTAATGTTAGTTTTGAATGTTCTCTAAATGTTTTGAAATGTGGTGACATTTGAAAAATGTTAGATGAACTTTGAACTAAAACATTTTAGAAAAACAAAAAAACATTCCATGAACAATATTTTTATCAAATTGGAAATTGAAGGTCTTGTCAAACGTGTTTCTTTGTGTGGTATGATATTCCCTGCGTGTGCTCTGTTGCATACTGCACACTTCATTCAGCTATTGCATGCATGCTACAAATTTGCATGCTCTGTATATTTCAGATAAAGTAAGAGTAGCAAGTTATTAACGCTTTTTTTTACTTGCTTATTCTGTGCAATGCAATGCAATAGCACGCAACTCTGCATGCTTAAAAGTGTTTAAATAATAAAATAATAAGAAATAATAAGCATCAATATGTAATCACTCACAAATAAGTAAATTAATTACATTTTTTAAAATCAATTTTTAATTAGTTATTGTTATCTATATTTTCCTGTATTCAAGGAATTATACACTATACTGTTGAAAAGTTTGGAATTGGTATGATTTTTAATGTTTTTGAAAGAAGTCCCTTATGCTCACCAAAGCTGTATTTATTTGATCACAAATATAGTAAAGACCGTAATATTCTGAAATATTACACTTTAAAATACATAAATGTGAATCTGTTTTTTTGGTGGTATTTGTAGTCATTGTACTTGAGCAAAGGCGTCTGAAGTGCTTAATAAGGACGTGGTAATTTGGTTGATCTGCCCTGTGCCAAAGCATGTAGCTGGATGAAGCTGGGTTTGTAATCCGTCATTGGTTTATGGACTGAGACAAGATACTAAAACAAGATCCTGGAGGCCAGAATGAGATCTAACGGATTATTACAGTCACTGTATGTGTGTGTGCTGATTAGGTGTTTAATGCAACGCAGAGAGGTGTTTCATCACATACTCAACGTGAAATAACATTCACAAGACTTTTCATTTCTGTAATGTGATATTTCATTGGAAAACAGAATATTTCACTCAAAAAGAATGTATCCATTTGACTGGATGTTAGATACCATATGGTTGTAGACCATAAATGTATTATATGATTTTTTTCACCCAAAGATGAAACTTTGCTGAAAATGTACTCACCCTCAGGTCATCCAAGATGTAGATGAGTTTGTTTCTTCATCAGATTTGGAGAAATGTAGCATTGCATCACTTGCTCAGCAATGGATGCTCTGCAGTGAATGGGTGCCGTCAGAATGAGAGTCCAAACAGCTGATAAAAACATCACAATAGTCCACACCACTCCAGTCCATCAGTTAATGTCTTGTGAAGAGAAAAGCTG